TTATGTGTTACGAATTGTTACTGGGTGAACGAATAAAGCTGGAATGTTCAAATATGGTATGTGATCACTATTTGAAATTAAATCAAAGGCATAAAAGTATAAAGATACGACAATCGATATGTCAACAACTTCCAATAGATGGCAATATTAAACGTTTTAAGTACTATAAAATAAAAACATATATTTTGAGAGCAGATCTCTGAATATATTTATATTTTATACACACATTTTCGCGTATTGGCGTTTTTATCCCTAACATGACTCTGTTATGATTGATTTATAAACTATTTTCTCAAAGTCTCAGTCTCAGAGTCTTTACGGTTTCTAGCTTTTGATTAAATTTGTTGTAATTAAATTTTCTGAAATTCCAATTATTCCAACAACTGTTTGACAAATAGATGTACCTAAATTTAGTATAACAGGTAGTGGGCGGTTGTTTCAGATACGGAACTTTTTATCCGTGATTTCCAATATGCCATTCAGTGCATTCTGTACCACCATATAAATATACAGCCCATATAAAGTGTCCCCCTTCCTTTTCCAAAGGACATTAAATTGTATATTTTGTTTTTCTTTTTTTATTTATTCATATATATTCGTATTTGATATAACTAAAGGAACATTTTTTCATTTCATTTTTAATTTTCTTGAAGTTGTTGGCATAATATATCTCTAAAACCATTATTAGAGGTAATGCCGTATTGGTATTCCGAATCATCTTCAATTTCGTCTGGCTCGTTGGGCTCGAATATAAAATCTTCTTCATTAGCTATGTTGTGTAATACACAACACGCCCAACACACTTTTGTATTCCCTTAAGCTTGTTATAATATAGTTGCTTGAATCTTTGTTTTAAGATTCCAAATGTATGTTCAATTGCCACTCGCCCTGAGCTTAGCTTTGAATTGAACATTTTTTTTTGCATTACTTAAGTGAACATTGTCTCTATATGGGGTTACGATATATCTACTGCATGGATAGGCAGAATCCAAGTATATGAAAATATATAAAAATCTATAAAAAGAATACTTATGAAACTGTATTATATCATTTATATTTCACCACCACATTTATCAAATATATATTGATATATAGGCGAATTTTGCAATACCCAACTATCATGGGACGAACCCGGATATCCTATGAAAACATTTATAAATTTTCTTTTGGCGTTGCAAATTCCTTGCATATTGATGGAAAATGTCCTTTTCGATCGACATAGTCATTTCTAAAATTCTTTGGTGGATCAATTGTTATATGTGTCCCACCTATACAACCTTTAAATAAAATGTACATATATGTATATTAAAATATTACAATATTGAAAATTTATAATTTTTTTTATTATATATTTGTAAAATTAATGCAGTACCTATATAAAGTATCTTACCTATCGCTCCGGAAAACCCACATTTCAATTAAAAATAATCGTTTGCTATATGTTTTTCCTCATCTGAAGGCCATTTTATTACTTGAGGGCTTAAATAGGTGAAGGAATAAGTAACGCGTGTGATTACAAAACTATAAACTGATATAGTTCAGTGAATTTTTGAATATGTATATAGTTAGGTTCCATTCCTTCTAGTACACAAATGCAGATAGTCTAGATGTTTCAATTTAAAAGGTTGATCAGCAATATAAGATGGAAAGGATATATATTTTTTACCTTTGGTAAGGGCAAGGCTGACGGTTGCGTTCAGTTTTGGTATTGTGAACCTGTATTTTTTTTTTTTTTGTACTGACGCTCTAAGCTGAAATATTTGGCCTCTACCTGGGATGCGTTAAACACATGCCCATTCCTCATTAGTTCTTTAGCGATTTTATCACACATTTGCTATTTATTTTTTAGATTTCGCTCTTTGGACGTAGTTAATTTAGTTTGGCTAGCATGAGTTTAACTGACGAATCGAGTCATACACATTTTTTTGGCAATCCGATGGAATAAAATTAACAAAAGTTTCTCCACATTCTTCATCAATAATTGAAGTTGATTGGGCATTCGGGAAGAATCCGATTTCATCATACCCGTCATTTGACTTACAACAGAATTTCTATGTTCCGCATCTAGACACATATATCCACTTTTTAATATGTAACCAAACACTTATTCAATTGGTTACTAAATGTTGTTCTATAACTTTTTAACATATTTTTACATGAGAGAGCAAACTCTCAATAATAGTTACTGAGTAATGTTTACTCAGTAAGTAATCGGAAAAACCTATTGTGAAATTTAGAAGAACAACAGTAATCAGACAGATTTGTTCAGACCTGTACATATGCAAAGTACTTAAAATACCACAGCTTGGTTGTCGTACTCGATGGAGATCAACATACACAATGTTGCACGACATTAAAACAAAATTTAAAACTATAGTGAATTTTTTATAACCCGTTCAAAATAAATCAGGAAACTTTGAAATGGATGACATTTTCTGGAATTTTGTAGAATGTTATTGTGCAGCATTTAATGTTTAGCTTTATTTTCTGTTTTATCAAGAAAAAATTCTGTCGCATAGCCGGTGTTGCCATGTGTCTATAGGAGAAACTACACTACTCTAATTAAAAGGAGATTATCACACGTAGCCGCAGTTGTCATCTGCCAATAGAAGAAAGTTTACGATCTCCGACCGAAGGCCTTTTCGACTTGACTGCAAATGTTAAAAAAATGTTTAAAATAGTTACAGGATTGGGAACTTCCTTTTGAGGGAATTTTAATACGTAAGAAGGGACATAGCTAAAGTTTTATGTTCATTCCCTAATTGTGATGGTTGGGTCTGGAGGTGAGCACATTATGTAAAATTTAAAATGGTAATAATTTACTATATATATATATATATATATATTAGGTGTACAATATCTGAAAGGGGCCGCAGTAGAAACAAATGCGATTTCAAACGTTACTTACGTAAAAGAACGCCTTTGATAAGTCGCATTTGTCTCTATATAAAATTATAACAATCGCGTTCGTGTGGGTTACTCGTGACGTTACCTCGAGGGATATTATGAAGGAAACAGCATGGTCTAAGAAGACGCCTTTGATTGGAACATTTTTTTATGGAAATTGTCGTAAATAGTTCATTTCAAACGTTTTTAGAAAAATAGGTAGTCTCGGAATTGAATTCTAAATCGACGAATCTAATATAGGCAAGATAAAATATAACAGAGGCCATACTGTGGAGGAGCAGTGAATGTTCGACGTTGTAGAGGGGAAAACTAGATTTGGGTAGTTCCGGAACGAACTAGTTCATTGGAAATAATTCGAGAAAGGAACGATCGGAACTAGTTCCAGCTCTTTAATTAAAAAAAGGTATTTTTTTTAATTTTTATTTATTTATAAGAAAATATTTTAAGCTTATCGTCCTGCAGTTGAATTCTGTAGCTTTGTTTCATTTTTTTCATTTTTGCACAATTTTCAATCATTTGTTAACAGATCAACACGGAACTATGTGAGCGAAAAAACAAAAAGAACGGCGAATGAAAGAGAGTTCTTTTTAGTTCCTTTTTAAAAAAGGAACGAGAAAGATCGATCCGCTCCCAGTTCCCAGGTTCGTAGTAGGGAAACATTGATGCCACTGTTTAAAAAATATATTCACCCGGATCAAATATAATTTCCAATTGTTGGAATTATTTAAATATTATTGGTATTAATTTATAGTAATACTTTATTAATTGCAGGCTTATGATTCGTTGGAGGAGGAAGGGTATACCCATTTTATTGTGAATCATTTTCAACATTTTGTGGATACAATAACAAAACAGCACACGAATACCAACGAGGGATTGTGGACCCAATTTAAAAAAAAAAAATCTTTATCTGAATATAACCATAGAAACATTTTTTAGCCGTTATATTCAGAAAGTTATCTTTTTAAGGATATGCAAATTCAAGAATAAAGATCCATTCGGAGAATTTTTGCGATTTGCGTGTCAATTATATGGCCCAGCGAAGATCAATTCTTGCGACGACTGAGTCGAGACTCGAGTATAAAGTATTGAGGACCCCATATTATTTAGAAGTCGCAGTTCCGAGATTCTTATGGTTTTATTGACAGATACAAATTATACAATATCGACTCTGTATTGGAGAGGGACATTGATATTGATTGACATTGATATATACTTTACATCCCATGGCTCGGTCTCCAATTATGAAATTTGGACCAACAATCCCATATAAGTTTCTTTAATTGTTTCGGAAAATTGTAGCAAAGATTTTAGTTTGTTATTGTCATATGCATATGGCATATATAGGCATATGCGTGAAGTAAAATATGTAATTATTTACCTTATACAATTTTTAGATGTTAGGGGGCATAAAAGTCCATTATGAGATACGGCTTTCCATCCTATATAATGACCAGAGGTCTGTTGTGCTGCTACATAATATTTGCCTACTCAATAAATGCGAAAAACCGGATATAAGTAATTTAAATTAAATAGAAAAAATATGGCTATGAACCTATGAAATATTGATCACTTTTTTATATTCACTACTCATTGAATAAATAATAACAAATAAAAGAAACATTAAAAACAAACATGTCTAAAAGTTTATTTCAAACACCAAACATGATCACAATAAGAAAGATTAGATTTTTGAGTGCTCTGTGTACCTTTTATACATATTTTCCATTCGACTTGCAGCATCCTGCGTTATCAATATACCTTTAGCTTGAGATTTTAGAGCTCTGATGTATTCAATGCCTTCTCTGTCATTTAGAATTGAAAACATTTCTAATCGGCAATATCGAATCTACAAAATTGACTTAAAATGTTCATAAGGATTCTAAACTTTAATCCTGTCGTTAGCATTTAACAAAAACAATGAAATTTTTGCATTAAAGTTTCCATTTATGTACATAGAGTGTATTTCTTTTTGGTGCGAGTTAGCTATTTATATAAAGCAAAAAAATTCTAGGCATATGTATGTAATTTAACGATGGTAACAAAATTTTTAATATTATGTTTAGTATGTACATTGAAATACTGTGACATCTCCGCATTATTCCAAAACGATGGTTCCAACTTCATCCGCATTATCAAGAATGTTATCGATTAGTGCAACCACCTTTTGACGAAAACGTCTGTTCTGTTTGCCGGACATCTCCTTCAGGTAGGGCAGTAAACTATTAAGAAAAGATTGATCGGCATCGGGCATCGGTGATGCCAATTGAAATTGGCGCTGATACTCATTTCGGCACTTAAACCACTCGGTGAAATCTGTAAAATCCAAGGCTCCACTTGGATTTCGGTTATCTGTCGGGTGTTGAAATGAACTATTAACGGCTGGATTAGTGGATACCGGTTTGAAGGTGTTGCATTTAATGCCACTAACACTATTTAGGTTATTTGTTGTCGTTGGTATGCATGTTGTGCCGGAACTACTTGTGTGTGGCAAATTTCCGTTCGGTGCTATACCACCTGCAGGTGCATTGAATGTTGCACTTGTAACTGTGACATTCGATGTTAATGTTTGTGGCCCACTACATACTGTATCTTTCTCCTGTTTTATGGCTTGTAAATTTAGAGGCTGCGGCCATGACAACTGCGTAATGCTATTGCCAATTGTCCCCCCATCATTTGTCGCAACAATAACATCGGTTTCAGTTATGGCTGCAACATCTGCTGAATTGCTGGAATCTTTGGTATCATCACTACTAACGGTGGGCATATTGCTTATACGTGTCATAGGCGGAATGTTACCGGATGCTGCTGCCTTCCGTTGAGCTATAATACTGGCACTGTTTTTAAGGCGGGTCTTTGTATACGGTATCAGAAATTGCAAGTACTTTGAGAGATAATATTTACGTTTGCCGCGGCCAGTACTTGTCCGTGAAAGTTTCAATGAACGTAGAAAACTGCTGCGTATTGTGCGCCATCTCTCACGGCAATTTCGAACTGGAAAGAAAAATTAAAAACGAAATATTATTAAAGACAAATTGAATTCTTAAATAGTTTGCGAAACGCTTTGAGATGACGAATGTTTAATTATTTAAAAAGCATGTGTTAAGACGTCACACTATGTCGCGAGTTCATATTAACATCGGCCAAAAATAGGAGTTATCGTAAGTTAATGAAATTTGGTACATGTTCTTATTATTGGCCTAAAAAGCAACTGACAAAAAATGGATAGATCGGGCCAAGATTTGGTATACCTCCCATATAATGGGCCTTGAGAATGTCACCCTTTTTGGCCTATAAAATATTCAAACAAATTCAATGAAAATTGGCAATTTACATGTAATTAGGCCTATAAAGCAACTGACCAAAAACTGGGTAGATCGGACCAAGATTTGATATACCTCCCATACAAAGGGTCTTGAAAATTTTACTATTTTGGGCTATATAATCTTTAATATTCAACCAAATTTAATGAAAATTGGCAATTTACATTTACTTATGCCTATAAAGCAACGGACCAAAAACTGGGTAGATCGGACCAAGATTTGATATACCTCCCATACAAAGGGTCTTGAAAAATCCGCTTTTTGGACCTATAAATTGTTTATATTCATCCAAATTCCATGAACATTTTCATGTCTTCGTCCAATTTACATCAAATTTGGGCGAAGACAGTAATAGGTGTTGTAAATTAGTTCTTGGCCCATATTTCAGGTACCTACCATACCAAAAGTCCCTTAAAATGTAACTTTCTGTACTATAAAATCGTCATATGCAGCTAAATTAAGTATAGTAGTTTTATTTCTGTTATTTATACTATAATATAATAAATATTTGATATCCTTTAGTAACTAATAAATTACTTTTTTATCATTCACAAAATTTTCAAAACACACATCAGATATATATATATATATATAATATTGTCCTCCCAAATGTACGATTTAGTATCACCCACGTTATAATCTCGGGTCTTTACTTTATGGTTGTTTAAGGATATTACAAGGTCGGATTGTAATATAAAATACTAAATAAAATCCTTATTTAACTCGGCTTTAACAAAAGTTCGAGCTGCTACTAATTATTTGTTGGCATGACTTGTTAGCATCTTGTGGAAGTCGCTCATGAACTAATATTTTTCTGTATGAGCTTTCCACAAAGGTAATTCATGTGCGACCTCTAAATTTAGATTATGCCTCAAATGATCCGATAAATAAGTATAATCTTCAAACTGACTGAAATTTATTTAAAAGATATGTTTTAAAACCAATTCTCCCATATCTCCGCTTCGAATAACGTTTTTACCACTGAATTGCATATTTGATGTAAAATATTGTATTAGTACTATGTTCTGAATCCATCTTCCCCTTCCTATTTGACCCTCAATAACTTATTTAATTGTATACATAACATATTGGACCATTCGCTTCGAACCATTTCAAGAATATTTCTTCATAAGGTGGTCACCAAAAAAGTTAAATAACTCTTTAAAACCGCACCTATTTTTTTATTCCTTAAATAACACACTTTTCACCACTCAAATAAAAAAAATTAGAGCTAAACTTTTTTTCTGCTCCACTAATTTCAAAATTTGTTTTACAAATTTGATGAACTAAGTACTACAAGTGTGGACGACTGTATGCACAATATGATATCTATATACATACAACCTAAAGCGAATCCTAGTTTTTACATCCACAGCAGCCAAAATACACATTTTTATAATAACCGTTAATTTGAATATTCAAATATTTGAGCATCAGAAAAACACTCCCATTTTTCGAAAATATCGTAAAAAATCAGTTTATAAATAATTATCAGATTTGAACCTTTGTAGAGACAGATCTACTCGACATATCGATATAAAATTTCACATTTATTCTAATAGGAGGGCTTTTTCTATCAATCCTCATCAAAAATTGTCCTCCGTGGTACTTGGTTTTGACCATTTTTGGCCGCGGTCGTGACACTGTGCGTCATCAATCATTTTGGTAGGAAAAACCAAATCGCATATGCATAGAAATATCTTAGTTATGGACGTGATATACACTTGCCATAATTAGTTTTGGAACTTATAAAAACAACAAGCATACATGTTTAGTTAATACCAACGATTGATCGGGTAGTTAAATTTCTTTTCGATATCACCCAATCACGGGACATTTATCTTGTTAACAATTCGTGAAGCTTAAGATCTGCAAACATAACATTACCCCCAAAATAATTCTAAAAAACATTATTATGAAATGAACCAAAATTACCGAGGAAGATATACAAATTAATCAAATCAATGACAAAACTTTATATTGCAACATATTGATCAGACATAATGCAAAAAATGTGTGCTTTCATTGGTCTTAAAAACAGCAATTGATACATTATTTTGGCGATAATCACATTGTTTTAATTTGGAAAGGCAGAGAATACAATAGTTTAAGATTTCGACACAGATCCTATCAGTAGTGCTATTCTGCAACTGTTTACTGATAGAATTACCGATAATTGTCGATAACCGTAAATTTTCATTTTGTTAGTTTCGTTAACACTAGAAAGACGGGAATTTTGTATATACCTACATTGCCTAAAATCGGTCAAAATGTCCTCATTCTGAAAGAATCTTCTTTATTATATAAAGAAAATTTATTAAACTTATTTTTTAACATTCTTTATATTATTTACAATCATACAAAACGTTGTTATTATTTGTTTTCGGTGGTAGGGCTGTCGAGTTTCCCCTTTTGAAAAATAAGAGCGCGGACAAAATGTTCGAAAAAGGGGAAATCTTTACTCTAGGAGTGAAATCGACTGGAAACATAAAATTTATTTTTCCCGATTTGTGTCTACGTTTGTGTTTCTAGAGTAGCAAACGGTTTTCGATGTTGTTGTACTGATCTGGTCATATAGGAAATTGACTTTATACAATAATAAAAGTAGTTTTTTATTTAATATTTTACAAGAGGTGAAAATGACCGATTTAGGCAATGTAGGTATAGCACATGTGAATGCGGGAAATAAAAGAGGGGAGAAAGCAGCTACTATGATTAATAAACGTAGTTCTATGTGGTACAAAAAGTCACCAAATTTTAAAAAGCTGTGTCATAATTAGACCTCGGATTTTGCATATTTGCATATTTTTTAATAATGAAGATATCGAAATTCTGATTGGACACAAATTCGTTTCAAAGGATTTAGAATTATTTGAAGGGTTCATATTTTTTAATTTTTTGCATATTTTGCATATGCACGGGATATGCAAAAAATATGCAAAATATGCAAAAAATATGCAAAAAATATGCAAAATATGCAAAAAATATGCAAAATATGCAAAAAATATGCAAAATATGCAAAATATATGCAAAATATGCTAGGTCGATATACAATAAATATGCAAAATATATGCATAAAATATGCAAAATATATGCTAAAATATGCAAAAAATATGCACGGTATGCTAGGTCGATATGCGATAAATATGCAAAATATATGCAAAAAATATGCACGGTATGCTAGGTCGATATGCTATAAATATGCAAAAATATGCAAAATATATGCAAAATATGCAAAATATATGCAAAATATGCAAAAATATGCAAAATATGCAAAAATAGGCAAAATATATGCAAAATATGCAAACATACGCAAAATATGCAAAATATGCAAAAATATGCATAATATGCAAAAATATGCAAAATATGCAAACATATGCAAAATATGCAAAAATATGCAAAATATGGAAACATATGCAAAATATGCAAAAATATGCAAAATATGCAAACATATGGAAAATATGAAAAATATGCAAAATATGCAAACATATGCAAAATATGCAAAAAAAGCAAAAATATGCAAAATATGCAAACATATGCAAAATATGCAAAAATATGCAAAATATGCAAAAATATGCAAGATATGCAAACATATGCAAAATATATGCAAAATATGCAAACATATGCAAAATATGTGCAAATATGAGCAACATATTTCACAAATGCAATCATTTTAATCAACAAAAAAAAAAAAAAATCAGGGTAGTTTTCGAATTTGTGTCTTGATTTAGATTAGGCGAGTTTACTTGCGGCAAGTCTTTGTTTGTAGGAGAGAGGGGCAAGGGGAATAGAAATGAAAAAAAATTGCTCGTACCGACAATTTTCTGGCAATTCGTTTTGTGTATTTCGTATTTGTTGACATTTTATATAGATTTAAATGTGAAAAACCAACAAATAGAAAAATATTTTGGAAACCGAATTGCCTTGTATAAACGCATGAAGCAAGTTCAAAAGAGAACGACAAGAATTGCCGCAAGTAAACTCGTCTAATCTAAATCAAGACTAATTGTGTATGTATGCGTTTCATGGTTCAACTGTTAGATTTTTGGGGCATTATGAAAAATTTGCTAAATATATGTATAAAACATGCAAACATATATAACCGTTATATGGCGATATACTAAAACGTGGACCGATATATCCCATTTCCAATACCAAATATCCTAGGAGTAATAATAATATATGTGCAAAAGTTCAAAGTTCTATCTTTAATATTGCGACCTAGCATACCGTGCATATATTTTGCATATGTTTGCATATTTCTGCATATTTTGCATATTTTTGCATATTTTTGCATATTTTGCATATATTTTGCATATTTTGCATATATTTTGGATATTTTGCATATTTTTGCATATTTTTGCATATTTTGCATATCGACAATGCATATTTTGTATATTTTTTGCATATATTTTTCGCATATCGACCTAGCATACCGTGCATATATTTTGCATATTTCTGCATATTTTGCATATATTTTGCATATATTTTGCATATTTTTGCATTTTTTGCATATTTTTGCATATTTTGCATATGTTTGCATATTTTTGCATATTTTGCATATTTTTGCATATTTTGCATATGTTTGCATATTTCTGCATATTTTGCATATTTTTGCATATTTTGCATATATTTGGCATATTTTGCATATATTTTGCATATTTTTGCATA